CTTAACTAATCTTTTCTTCGATCAGATCAAAGACAGACCATTCACACAAAAACTAAGATCGCTCTTGAATACAAGACAAAACAGTCTTCTTAAGATACCAAATTTTTAATGCAGCAAAGGCCAAATGCCACATCAAATTGGTTGTTAGGCACATTTAATTAGAATTAAAAAATTATAAGAGGGTCTAGAATATGAGTTTCAATAAACCCACACACTAATTTTTTTCATCCCGAATAATGTAGTAGAATCATCTCTATTAAATATTAATGAACCCACATATTTGATAAGAATAGTAGCATTACTCTATGAGGCTTGACACAAAAGTGATCATAAAATAAGAGAGATTATACAATTTATTCAAAAACAATTCTAACTCTTTTTTTGAGTCATAATTTAGCCCTATTGAGTCATAAGATATTTTTGAGTCGTAACTGCCTTCAAGTGGATGGAGCTAACTCTAATTTATTTATAAATTTTGGTACTGATGAGACTTTTCTGAAATACCGTATGATGAAGACACGTGTCCTCGGTTTTACTAAAGCACTGTTGCTAAGATCAAGCACCCTCGGTGCACAAGGTCCTCGCCCCCGATGTACCGACATATAGGATCACACATTCGGTATATTTTTACACCGACACGTGGCCTCGGTCTGATATGTACCTCGGTCGGCATACCTCCCTCGTCCCCGAGATGAGCCTTTCCTCGGTGCCGAGAGGTACCCCGTCCTGGACGCCTCCTCTACTCCAGGATAAGCAACTGACGTACAGGTCATCAGCCTGGGCTATTCTAGGCTATTCATCATAACCTCGTCTTGTACAAGTAATGTCAGAACGTACTGGAATGCAGAGGTCACAACCAATAGGAGATGGACGCGTGGCATATGATGTCACACCAGAGACAGACAAACCGCATGCTGTTGCTGACACGCGACTTGAGNGATGGACGCGTGGCATATGATGTCACACCAGAGACAGACAAACCGCATGCCGTTGCTGACACGCGACTTGGGAAAGTAAACCATTAATTGCACCATTCCCTTGATGAGACCGCATTCAATGCGGTAAGGCTCGGAAATGAAAGGCAATAAATGCTACTATTACAGAGCATTTATTTCATCCTCCCCGAGAGGAGCTCATTGTACCGTCGGCATCCCGACGACTCAGCATTGATTGCTCGGGACCCCGAGCAGTTAATTAGAAAAGACATTCCTCATCAGAATCAATGCACACGCTACCTGTGTCTAATGATCACCTACTGACCACACTGACAGCAATCATGAACTTTTAAGGTATAAATACTCCTTGCAAACAGCAAAATGGGGATGCAACAACAAACTCTCTACTACAATACATTTTTTTCTCAGTGTTTTCTCCTTCCTCTCTCTCACTCAAAGACTGACTAGACCGTCGGAGGGGATACGCCGGAAAACACTCCGGCGCCCTTCTAACTTGTTCTTCTTTGTTCCAGGAACCCCTTTCAGCCTTACAGGATCGTTCCTCCTTTCCCAGAATCTCCCGTTGCCGTTCCAGGTTATCACCGTACCTCGCAGGCTGTCTCAAGCAGCGTGTTTGGTCACTCAACCGGCTCACTCACTGTTCACCAGGGAAGAGATCTGTTCTCTTTTTTTTACATATCGTGCAGGATCTTGCCCGCACAGGTACCGTACCAGTAACTTGGTTTCTTGTTTTGGTGAAGTGATGTGGGACAATTTGATGAAACATGCACAAGCCCAACAGTTCATTGCATCAAGGGCAGTTGGAAATCTCAATTTCTAACTCATTTTCCAGATGTAATACTACAGATATAGCCAATGGACATGCCTAAATCTAGAGATGCAATCGGATGGAAAAATGAAATAAACAATATCACGTTTGGTTGCACTTCTCCTTCTTCCATTTTCTGGACAACCAAACGAAAAATGATGAACTTAATACAATAGGCTGGCTAGGTGCAGTTGTACATTACAACTGTTACAGGGGGAAAGGGTGAATATCTGCTGAATCCATGTGCCAAATCTTTACTGATGCCTTGACATTCAATCCTGTGGCATTGTTAAACAGGAACACCTGCGCTGCTCCATAAATTGCTGTTGTAGGATAAACTCGCGATGTGATGACTGTCCTTCCTCCTTGAGCAAAGCTCTCCACTATGGAGTGATCAACCTGAATGGATTTCTAACATCTTAGATGTATGCACTGAGCAGAAGAATGGAGCATATTGGATTTGTTTTAAAACAAAATGACAGAACATCTGCTGTGCTTTGTCTTCCCTTCTAAACTACTCTTCAATACTGAGTTTGTTACACAATGATGGGGTTTCATTTTGGTATGCTTCAACATTTCACGAGATGTAATAAGGAGACTTTGAAGTGCTGAATGTGCGTGCAAAAGCACCTATAGCTNGTTTCATTTTGGTATGCTTCAACATTTCACGAGATGTAATAAGGAGACTTTGAAGTCTTGAATGTGAGTGCAAAAGCACCTATAGCTACTATCACTTGTTTCCATGCAAAATAAAACAGACCATTGTGTGGCATTCTAGTGGCACTTCAAGGTATTCTACAACTAAAATTCTTCCCAAAACACACAATGTCTGCAACATGTCTTTCCCATGGACCCTAGTTGAACTACGAGTGCCTTGGTAACACATTTTGGTGTCTAATTTTCCCTACCTTTTTTTTGTTCTTTTTAAACTTANCAAAACACACAATGTCTGCAACATGTCTTTCCCATGGACCCTAGTTGAACTACGAGAGCCTTGGTAACACATTTTGGTGTCTAATTTTCCCTACCTTTTTTTTGTTCTTTTTAAACTTATGTACAATCCAGGGAAGCAAATTTCACGATGATAAGATTGTGATTGGTATTACATCAAAGACTGTAATAGTATTCATAACAAAAAAATTAAAGAGAATTATTTGAATCCAAAACAATAATAAGAGATTCTCACGCACCAATAACCTCATAGATAATTTTTCACCTTCGAGCACAGGTACCTTGCTTCCATAAACTTGTTTGCTAACATCAGAAGCTTTTGATGATCTGCATTAAACAAATAGTATTTTCTTGTTTTCATAAGCTTATCCATTGATTTACACTGTAAGAAATGTTACATTTAAGAAACAAGAAACTTCTGTCCATGGGTTAAACAAGAGTATATTAATAATATGCACCCCAGCAGTAGTTAACGTTTTGAGTCAAAAAATATGCTACAGGCTATTGTTATAAGAGAATATTAAGCAGGAAAAATGAAGACGAGAGAAAATCACAGACTAGAAAAAAGAAAAGAAACAAACCTTGTTTCATCGGCACAGAAGTGAGTCACAGCACTCCCACCAGTGTCTTTGGCAATGTAGAAATAAACAGGTGTTAGCTCAGACTGAGTTTCATCAGCAAGAACTAGAAAGCCAAATGGTCCTAGAATGCCTCTACCGCGAGCCCCACAGCTAGTAGTGCAATTGTAACCCACATCAGCCTCAATGGTCACCTCCAAGGCTTCTTTATCTATTTCAAATTCGGCAGCTATGTCTAACTGTCACCATTTCCAAACAATTGTCTCATTTAATTTTTCGGTGACAGTTATTTACACAAAACCTATAATAATCTTACTTAGTTTTAGCAAAATGAAGCCCAAACCTGTGTAGCAGAGCCCATGACGAGTGGCACAACTGATCCTGGATGAAGATCCACCTCGTCGAATTCATGACTGCCCAACCTCAAACTCTCCAATTCCTCAACGGGCCATTGAAGTAAATTGGTTCCTGTCTTCTTGTCAAACACCACAGTCCTTGGAATCGTCTGTGGAACACAACAATTATTACAATGCCCCATAATCTATCTTTCTGCTCCAGAGTTGAAGGTAGATTGTGTTTTCAGGAACTCTATGGAGGATTTGCTTCTGCTAGGAAATTAGTTTGGCTAAAATGGAAATGTGAAAATAGATAAGAATCACTAAAAATTCCCAAGGATGTTTAGATGCCACAAAAAGCAGAAAAAATGGTTCTATTGTCATTTAATTTAAATATAAATTCCTGATGGTGAATGAAATCACTCGAAATTCACATAATTCATGATTACAAAGCTACAATATCATATAAATTTTGGATAACTTCAGAAAGCACCTTCAATTCCGGAATTATATAGTGCAAAGTAAATTTACCATCTTATGTTTATGGGTAAAAGTACGACAAGTAAAAACCCAAGTTTCAAAACGATACTGGAAATATATACTACCGATTGTGACAAGTCATTACATTCTCAATCACTTCGTTTACGTTGAGACATTTAAAGTCAAATGGTATGGAAATTAACATGGAACTTTAAAATTGTCACTTAACATCTGAAATGAATATTCACTAAAATATAAAATTGCAGCTTTATATTATTTGAACGAGTGGTCAGACACATCTCCAGGACTGAGTTATATAGCAACTAGCAAGAGCCGATGAGTTGCTCCTTCACCGAAACTCTACTTGAATATTAGTCGATCCACTGTTAATAATCTGTCAAAATTACATAGTGTTTGGCTAGTCCAGCCCTTACTCTCACTATACTCAATTCAAGAAACTCATGCTTTTCTAAGACAAGAAAATTTGGGATCATTGAATTATTAATCCACTTATGGACCGTCCATATCAAGTTGAGCTGGATATCATTGATTACTACAAAGCAACCCAATTGGATTAGAGAGGAACCCTTTTTCATTATCGACTTTAAAATACTAAAGAAGAAGACATACCCATATTTTTCCAGAACTGTCATGCATGTACCAAATTTCAATCCAACCCAACACATCAAAACCTTTTTTTTTTTTTGGAAAAAAACACAACAAAACCTTAATCCCAACTATTTGGAGTGACATTTACGAAATTTCAACATCACACTGAAATGGCCATACATCCATAATAGAAGTAACTAAATTGCACCTTTATCAGTTTCTGCATAATAGAAGTATTATAAGGCAGAGATTTTGTAAAGATGAAGAAAATAGAAACCTGAACAGAGGCCCAGCCCTTCATGATGTCGACATTTTCACAATCAGATTCTCCAATCCATGCCCACAGGATCCTCCTCTTCTTATATTGGTCATAAAATGTCTTTGATGCATAGTATTTTCCATAATCGACCCGAAACCCAATACCCAGGTCCAAATCCGGGTTGTCGGGGGTCCATGTGTCCGTTATCGGATCATAGGTCCCGAGTACATAATAATCATGCGCATAATCTTGTAAACTAGCTTTCAGAACATGCTTAATGCCCGGCCCATTTGAAGATGTGTCCAACCCGTTTGGCTCAGTAGTAGAAACCGGGTAAAAGTCGACACACTCCCACATACCCGTGCCTGGAATCGCATACAGACTCTGATCCGCCAGCTCGTAGCTTATGAAGTCTGTTGTTTTGTAAACAAACGCCATTCCATCCTTATTAACCTTTGACCCGACTGTGATCCGCCACTTACCATCCAGGCCGAGCCATGCTGTGGTCGGGTCACGAAAGTCATCATCAGCAATGCCCGATGGAGGCGCCATCACCGGGTTACCAGGGTACTTGACCCAATCAAGGAGAAGAGGATCGGACACGTTGGAAGGGTACGCAAGATTTTGCACCTGCACAAAATCATTGGTGGACCCAGTGTACAACATGATGATCTGACCGTCAGGAAGGATTGTGGCGGACCCGGTCCATACACCATTCAAATCAAACCAGCAATCACGAACCATCGCCAAGGGAAGGTAGAGCCAATGAATCAGATCCCTTGATACAGCGTGGGCCCATGTGATGTTGCCCCAAACAGCTGAGTCAGGGTTATATTGGTAGAAAAGGTGGTACCATCCCATGTGGAACAATGGACCTACAATACATGCAATATTATCCTCAGTATAATTATCAATTATAAATAGATTAGTCAACTAATCAAATTTTTAATCTTGCAAAACTCATATTTAATTTTAAAATATATTCAACAGAATTTATTTGAACGGTCTATATCAAAACTTGTTTAAGATCCATATCACCAAAATAATACAACCTGAAATTATAATACTAACTCTTAATCGATTCACTTTGAAATATATAACACAAATACAAAATACATATTAATTGACTACGTATATATAAATTCATAATTATATATTATTTTAGATAATTAAAAATCGAACACAAATATAAGATAAACGGTAATTAATTTAGTATTTATGAATGTTTTATGATATATAATGTTGTATAGTAATAAAAAACGACTTAGATAAGAGTTTCAAAATAAATTGCGACATATAACACCGTACCAGTGCAACTAATTACTCCCATTGTACCAGTACCCAAAAAAATATCATATCATGTATAAGGGTGTTAATCGAACTGAATTTACATATAAATGTGCTGACTTGTTTGAATTTTTACACATAAACGAGTTTTAAAAAAAGTTCAAACTTGACTTGTTTAACAGTCCTAATCATGTATCAATACTCGTATCATATACTAAAGTGATTCCCGATCCAAATAACATTGGTCACATGTTGTAACGTGAAGCCTCCTAACTTTTGTTTGAAAGTGTTTGGTGGGCACGTTAGGTGATTTAAAATGCAGACTGATTGAGTTGGAATCAAGTAAAATATACAAAGTCTTCTACCCCAAATGTTATAATAAGAATAGGCGTAGGCCAAAGTCTTCCACCTAAGCGTTTCAGATTATAAGTGATGGCAACTTAATCATTATATCACCTAAGTTAGGTTTTTATCCGACTTGAGACTTTTCACACATACAATTCCCAATAATCTCTTCCTCATATGTGAATCACAATGGACTTAGCTACGTTTTGAGTCAGATTCATTACTCTTCACAAGCATCGCGTCTAACCATTCTTTATAAGAGAATATATTACTTTTCCAAGAACTAAGGTTTTACGGCTCTTTATTTGTAAGTCACTGTATTACCACTTTGTCAAGTACCCCTGCGCCCAAGTATGTGCACTATCCTTTTTTTCGAATGGTGTTTCTATTACTTCAATACCAAGAGCACATTATTTTCTTTAAGAGCCATCATTGGTCATTGGATTACCGCTCTATCAAGTGCCCCTTGCACTTTGCTCTTTTTTCGGAATTGTATTTCTATAACTTCAATACTAAAAGTTCTATCACTTTTCTTAAAGAGTCATTATTTGTACTGTACTGATTTCTGAAGTATATTTCCATGACTTCAATACCAAAAATCCATCACTTTTCTTAAGAGTCATCGTTCGTACCGATATGTTACACTAATTTTTCGACATTTCAATCATGATTGTCAATCATCAGTTTAAATACCATTTGTTAGGATACTCGGAGCCAATTAGTCCAAGGTCTAATATACATGTCTAAAACTTATATCCACCTAAAAGTTTAAGTATATAATTGGTGAACCCATTTATTGTATATTAGCCTACTTTATCTTATACTCACAAAAACGTTAATAAGCACTGCAAGTTATCACCGCAGTACAAAAGATCGAGCTTCACAATTTACAAACAGCCAGGACAGACGAGGAAGAAGGTGGGCCCTACCTACCGGCCAAAGAAGCAAGAGAAAATTTTTGTACGGATTTTCCCACTATAGTGTTATAACGTGATTAAAAACTTTTATTTCAGACTCACAATTTTTTTTGGCAATATTACATCCGAATCTTTTAAGATTTGTCACTTAATCACTCAGACTTTCTGATATTTAAAATATAACACGCAGATCCCCTAATATTTGTACGTGCGTGACACTTAAAACTCCTTCCGTTAATATCTGTTAATACGTTACATTTAGACCCTTTAAAGTTTGTAGGTATGTAATATTTATATCAATTTAAAATGTTATATTTAAATCAAAAATATTCTAATCAAAGATAAAATATTAAATATTTTAAATTTTATAACCAAAATTCATATTTTATTATGATATTTATTGACATAAAATTAAAAATAAGAATCTAATTTTTTCTTAAAAAATCATAATTAATATATAATTATACTATCTATTTCAAATATCATGGGATCTATATATATATACATATTTCAAATGTCAGAGGTCTAAGTAATTAAGTGACAAATCTCAGAGGATCTAGGTCTAATTCTTCTTATTTCTTTTAATTGAATTAATTTTGTCAATTTAGTCTTAAAATATTCAATTCGTGTCATTTTGATCTATAGTCAAATAATTCACCTAAGTTTTTTTTGATAGAAATTACTACATATTATTTTTTAGACGATATCACGTATTCAACACATAATCATTTTATTAAAAATTTAACAGTCTCTCAATATAGGGATAAAAAAAAAACACAAATTATATATTTTAGACACTAAATTAACAAAATTAATAAAATGATAATTAAACTCACAAAAAATACTATTAACCCTAAATTATATCCTAGAATTTTGGAAAAACTTCAAACCAATTTTTGGATTCAATAGCCACTAAAGAACACGATGCATATGGGGATTAACCAAGAACATACCGTTGGGATCTGAAGCAGAAGCCACCAGGTTTCCCCCGCAAAGCAGCGATGTGAATCAACAACAAAAGGTTAGATCAAATGTGTGTGTATATATATTATTCTTATGAACTAAAAAGGTTTGAAAATTGAAACAGCTTGTAGTGCTAAACTATGCCTGTTGGCTGTTACCATTCATCCAGTTCTTTTCAGGTTGAAAATGGTAAGATGTTCTTTGCCAAGACAACATAGAATTGGTCCAAGGATAGTCCTCAGTTTCGCCGCTGATCTCCCGGAAAGTCTCCTCTGATACACTCTTAGATTCCCCTCTCGACGGTGGTTTCAAAGTTCCCGGTGAAACCGATGTTGAAGGCGCAGACTTCTGCTGATGGGCATTGACTTCTGATTGGGGTTCTGATCCTTGGTTAATGATCAGAACTACCAAAGAAGAAATAAAGAGTGCGCAGAGGAAGATACCGACGAGACCCTTCGAGGGTCGCCGGTAATCCGCCGGAAAACCGGTGGATTCATTTTGCTCTGGTAGGGGAGTGTAGGATGCTGGGTTGGTGTCCATCGTGGGCAGTGGGTAAATTCACTGATGAGAGAGAGAGAGAGAGAGGAGCGATTCAGATAAACCTAATCAGAACCAGTTTTCAGAAAAATACTCATTCAGTAACTATCTATCATCACTTGCAAGAATATTTTGTCGCAACCCTTAGTTGTTCTTAAAAAGTGTGTAAAACAACTAACATGAATAGTTCTTCGGGTTGAACTTGGATGACTCATAAACTTTGATTAGTGTCTTTCAATAATTTAGGAGCGATTGTAAGGTACTCTTACAAGGATGGGTCTAAAATGGTTTTACTTTACAGATGTTACTCGTTAATAAAAATAAATAATAAGTGGATGTAAGTGGATTTTTTTTTATTTAAAATGGTGGTTGACTGTATATGCAGCTCGTCTGTTGAGGTTTATAAACTATACAGAGAGATTACTCTTTAAATTTCAGAATTGATATAGTGACTCTCTAATTGCATTTAATATGATAAAAACACTTCTCTTGACTATATTTTTTCGTGTACGAGGTATATAATGGGGGTAGGGCAGACATCACAACCAAAATGGACAATACAAAAATGCAGAATTACATCTAAATCTTGTAAGGTTTGTTACTAATATACATAGACCATCTAAAGTATGATAATTCATTGTAAGACCCCTTATTAATAACGTTTTGCATATGGTCTAATGAATGTAACAAAAATATCAATTTATCTCTACCCGTAATCCAAAAAAATTAACACCTACACAACTTAATCCAACCAATGAATATTTCCAACACATATCCAAATAACATTAAACCCACAAATAATCCAATTGTCTTATTTTACACTTCATTTTCCCCCAATAACCCACCATCACATGGACAACCACCACCATTCCCACATACCTCTCTAGCGCGCATACATATATACACTAATGGTATTCGAAACAAATTGGCCCAAGTTGCAAAGTAGGATTGGATGAAGTCCGATAAATGTATGGATGTGTGTGTGTGTGTGTGTGTGTGTGTGTGTGTGTGTGAAGGTGTATACTATGGATGATCAACGAGGTAAAGATAAAATATAAGTTGTTCGTCTTAGTCGAGAAACTAAGATTACATTCACTATAAAGGAGGTTCTTACTCCTTGAAGATTGTGATGATGCACAAATTAGTATTGCGCAAGATCAACAGTCGAGTATATCAAGAGATACAATTAATGAGCAATAAATAAAGCAATCGATGGAAAAATAGTAATTATGGAGTCAATACAAAGATTTATAATGGTTCGGTCCGGGTAACCTACTCCACTCTCTAGAACGATTACGGTGACCGAAGATCTTTATTAATGAATAATGTAACCAGGAGAGTACACTCTGGGAGAATTACAATGGTTAAGAGAGAAAAACTTGGTGTGTAGAGGGATACTAATGTGTTGTCTTCTATGTGGAGAGAGCTTACATTATATAAGTATGAAGAGGCGGTGACATGAGGGAGAGGGCTCTACTATTTTGATGAGTACAATTAAGGTACAATTAGATTTCCATCAACGCATATCTCAATATTCGCTCCCACATGCTCCTATCCCTTCGGGCTTCTTGGATCCTGAGTTGGGTTGAACTTGAATCGGAGTGGCAAGGTGAGGAGGGCAAAGGAGAGACTGGAGGGCCAACCCATGGGCGGCGCCAGGGGCTTGGGTGACCCCTTGGGCGGCGCCCCTTGGGTGTCTCGTTTGGACTCTGGCGACTTGGGCTCTTTTTAGACTCTGGTGAGTTGGGCTCCTTCTTGATTTAATGAGCTGACCCAATTGATTTTGGGCTCGTCAGATTGTATTTCTTAGAGAAGACGGTAATTGTTTTACAGAGTTTGGCTTGAAGTCGTCACAAGGTATTGCTTAATTCTCTCTCTCGTTAGCTTACTTGGTGTTCCCTCCTCTTGTGCCCTATAGCACTTTTAGTTATTTATACTATTTTGATGACTAAGGTTTCACGTTTGTCTTTCTTAGCTAATCTTGTGGTCCCTTTCGTTGTTGTCTTCATCTTACTGCTATGATCCCCAGAACATTTATGCATCCACTACTTACAGTTTGTTGTACTTAATTTGTCTTCACTACCTATGGGTGTTAGTTCATCAAAGCCGACAGACAACGTTCCCTTATCTCTTGTGCCATGTGTCGTGTTGTAGCTTTTTAGGTTGACCTTGTGTCGAGCTCCTATGCTTTGAGCTGAGACCCGTACCGAGCTCGTTAATCTTGAGCTTTCGTGGAACTGGGTTGTAGCTCAATTCGAGCCCAAGGGACATTGTCTGAATTGACTTCTTGGACCGTTTCGTGTCAATACAGAGGGTCTTGGGCTCTTTTAGGACCGTGCCCAAACTTTTAAGTCAATAATTATCATACACAAAAGATGTGAAGTACCTAGTTGTTTATATCCTCCTCCTTTCGATTCATCTCTCTCTCTCTCTCTCTCTACAAAAGTTCTAGATCCCCCTACCCTGTTTGCCTCCTCATCCCATTGATTCACTATTCCCTCCCTCCCACCTCCATTACACGGTCCTTTGCACGTGGACTATGTCCAAAGTGTTAATTTCCCCCACATAAAATGCCCTTTAAGCCTTGTTATGTGTCTCCCCTACATCTTCCCACCCTATCTCTCTTTGGCATATTGCAAAACTCCTTGAACTATTCGTTTCCTCCCTCCACAGAGGAGGTTTAAGGTGTTGCCAATTTGGTGGGTTGTTGTTGTAGATCGATATTAGGAGGGAGTGTTTGGTGTTATGGAGGCGACGGGTGAAAGAGATTCAGTGATTTGTTATCAATAAGAGATAGATGTTATTAAATAAATTGGCGGAACTGATAGGGACTTTTTTATGGAAAACACAAGGGTGGGATTTTGTGGGAGCTTGGTGACCTGGTTATTTCAGGTCTATAAACATATGATGATATCATGTAGATGAGACATTGATTCAAATGGACTTTAATGGCAAAGGTCTATATGTTGTAACATATCAAAATTTAATGGTTGATGGTGTGATTTTTCATATGTAAAGAGGTCTCTGTGTATGATGACAAAATTTTAGGAGGTTTAAATATAATTTACACAAACTCTCACAATGATAAATAGTGGACCCATTTCACCTCCAACGCCGCCTGGCAAAAAACAATGAAATATTTTTTATGTTGAGTAAATTATCTTTGTTGTTTCCGTAATAAAATATGTATCTACGTGTCAACACGTCAGCTTAAGCTTACCAACCAAAATTTTTGTCCCGCTTCATAAATTTGTTTATCAAATATTATATTACAAATAATTTGTTAAAATCTTATGCATTTGGTAGACGTATTATTAAAAGAATTAAATATGAGATTATATTATTTTTTATTTAACCGGATCTAATATTTTATTTGGTAAGTAAATTTGATAATGTATTAATTTCAAGAACGTATATTTATCGTATATTTTATGTACGATAGACCTGTATTATAAAGATTTTTTAATACCACTAAAAGAGGTTGTATTATAATTCATCTCAAACGTATTATTTTACACATTTATTATTATAATCCTTTAAGTGATTAAATCAAACTGTCATTAATGTAACAAACATTAATTGATGATATTTTTTTTAATTCAACATTAACACGATAAAATAATTCTCTAATCAAACAACCGATTAGATTAAATAACTATTATCTAACGTTTATATTGTGTATTGTCAAACACTAGATAAAATTACGTATTATCCTAATACTATATTTAATCTTATCTTTTATTTATTTGTAGTGTATTATACTGTATTAGTTTATCCAATTCATCCATTTTTAATACGGCAACCAAACGAACCCTTAGAATGTTTAGTAGAAGTTAGTGGACTTTACTGATCCAACCACCCATAGGTCCCACACTAATTTAGGATACAAAATATGGTAAATAATTTGATAAGTATAGAATTACTTATTAACTTAATTTATGTTAAACAAGCATCTACCTTAAAAATTTAAGTTGTTAAAGATGGTGTAATTTAAATATTTATACTTCAACACTTTTTCTCACGTACAAGTTAGATTTTGGGTTTAATATGTAAAAAAAAATTTAATAATTAGAGTGGCGACGAGATTAGAATATATAATCTCATGCTCTGACATTACATTAAATAACCATCTAATCTAAAACTTAAACCGTTAAAAAAAGTGTAAGTTTTTTTTGTAANGACATTACATTAAATAACCATCTAATCTAAAACTTAAACCGTTAAAAAAAGTGTAATTTTTTTTTTGTGAAGTAAATAATTTTATTGAACCAAAAACAAAGATATTATAATGAAGCTCAAAACATCCAACAGAACATTTGTACCCCAATAATTTAGATGGTATGCAAATTTTAGACTTCAATGAATAATATAAATTTTGTATGTTTTATTAAGTTTGTTTATATCTGGAAAAAAAAAAAAAGGGCAATGTTACACTTGCCAAATCATTTACCATCTCAAATCAATGTAGGTCATTGGATCAATGGGATCCACTAACTCGACCAAACATTTAATGCACATAATTTTAACACATTATTAATGATACAATATTTGATAAACAAATTTGAGAAACACAGTTTTTATCCGGGAAAAAAAAAAAACTTTAAAACTTAGGATTTGGTATCTGAATTCACAACAAAATGGAAAATGTTATTTACAGTCACCCAAAAAAAAAATGGAAAGCACATAAATATATATAAACCAGAGCCATGAGCCATGATTTAAGCAGCAATTGACTGCTNAAAAAAAAAATGGAAAGTACATAAATATATATAAACCAGAGCCATGAGCCATGATTTAAGCAGCAATTGACTGCTTTTATGGTGCCAGAGGTTTGAGATACAAGACAAAGTCAGTCCTCTTAAAATACCAAATTTTTAATGAAGCAAAGGCTAAATGCCACCTCAAATTGGTTGTTAGGCACGTTTGATTAGAATACAAAAATTATAACAGGATCTATTAATTTGTAAAATAAGGATAACCCACGGTTTAATGTAAATGGTTTTATTATAAATTTTGGTACTGTACCAAACTGGGTAACTTGGTTTCTGGTTTTGGTGAAGTGATGTGGGACAATCTGATGAAACATCCGCAAGACCAACAGTTCATTGCATCAAGGGCAGCTGGAAATTTCAAATACCTACTCATTTTCCAGATGCAATATAACAGACATTGCTGATGAACATGCCTAAATCTAGAGATGCGATCCAACGGAAAAATTGAAATAAACAATATCACGTTTGGTTGCTGGAAGATTCTATATTTTCTCTTCTCTTTCTTCCATTTTCTGGGCAACCAAACGAAAAATGATGGAACTTAATACAATAGGCTGGTTAGGTGAAGGTGTACACTNCGTTTGGTTGCTGGAAGATTCTATATTTTCTCTTCTCTTTCTTCCATTTTCTGGGCAACCAAACGAAAAATGATGGAACTTAATACAATAGGCTGGTTAGGTGCAACTGTTACAGGGGGAAAGGGTGAATATCTGCTGAATCCATTTGCCAAATCTTTGCTGATGCCTTGACATTCAATCCTGTGGCATTGTTAAACATGAATACTCGAGCTGCTCCGTCTATTGCCTTTGTCGGATAAACTCGTGATGTGATGACTGTCCTCCCTCCTTGAGCAAAGCTTTCCACTATGGAGTGATCCAACTGAATTGATTTTGAACAATTTAGGTTTATGCACCGAGCAGAACAACGCATAGTTGTGGATTTATTTCAAATCAAATTGACTGAAAAACATCTTCTGAATTTGGATTTCCTTCTAAAATACTCTTCAATACCGAGGTTCTTGAATAACTTATTGGATGGTGTTTGATATTGATATGATTCAACTTGTCACCAGAGATGTACCAAGAAGGCTTTGAGACGTTGAATTCAAATGCAAAAGTGCCTACACTTACAGTGGCCACTGGGAGGTATTCTACTAGATTACTACTACTAACCTGCTTTCCAAACTCACCGATGTTTGTAACAAGTCTTTCCCATGGACCCTAGCTGAACTAGCGGTGCCTTAGTAACATATTTCGGTATTAGTTTTCCCTATTTTTTCTTTTCTAATTTGGATGCAACCCAGCCAAGCCAATTTCACAGTATTAAGATTGTTCTCCCCTTTCACCAAAGACTTTAATAGTATAACTACTCAAAAAAAAAAATTAAGAGAATTAAACGGATAAAAAATAATAATAACAGATTCTCACATACCAATAATCTCATAGAGAATTTTTCACCATCTAGCACAAGAACTTTGCTTCCATAAACTTGTTTGCCAACATCAGCAGCCTTTGATGACCTGCATTAACAACTAGGTTAAATGATTTTCTTGTTTGCAGAAGCTTATACATTGATTCATATTTATAGGAAATGATATTTAAGAACCAAGAATCTTCTGGCCATGGGTCAACATGAGTCTTAAGAATGTGCACAGTTTGGGAGTAGTTAGTGATTTGATTCAAAAAAGAAAATACAAATGATACAGGCTATTGTGACGCACATCATATGCAATGAAGAGGAGGCTAAGCATGCTAGATGAAGAAAAGAGAAAATTGCATCTGTAAAAAAGAAAAGAAGCAAAACCTTGATTCATCAGCACAGAAGTGAGTCTCAGCACTCCCATCAGTGCCTTTGGCAATGTAGAAATAAACAGGTGTTAGCTCAGATTGAGTTTCATCAGCAAGAACTAGAAGGCCAAATGGTCCTAAAATGCCTCTATTGCGAGTGCCACCACTAGTAGTGCAATTGAAACCCACATCAGCCTCAACAGTCGCCTCCAAAGCTTCTTTATCTATTTCAAACGCTGCAGCTATGTCTAACTGTCACCATTTACAAACAGGGCTCATGTAAAGTTGACAGTTATATAAGAAAAAGCTATAATAATCTTACAAGTTTAGCAAAATGAATCCCAAACCTGTGTAGCTGAGCCCACGTCAAGTGGCACAACTGATCCTGGTGCAAGCTCCACCTCGTTGAATTCATTACTGCCCAACCTCAAACTCTCCACTTCCTCAACAGGCCATTGAAGTATATTGGTTCCTGTCTTCTTGTCAAACACCACGGTCCTTGGAATTGTCTGTGGAACACAACAACAAATTACTATGCACCATAAGCCATCTTTATGCTCCACGGATAAATTCAGATGCTGTTTTTAGTGACTTCTCCTTGGCAGTAAGTTTAGCTAAAATGGAAAGGCAAAAAATAGGCAATAATGCTAAACTTTCTCAATGTACATGTAGATTCACAAAAAACTTAAAATGATCCGATTGTGATTTACATAGCATTTGTATATAAATTCATGATGGTGAATGAACTCACCTGCAATGTAATTCATAATTACAAGTGATGATTCATATAAATAATTACTTTGATAAGAAACCTTTCCAATTGCAAAATTACTCAATGTCAAGTAAGTTCTGTCACTGCACCTTTTTGGACGCAACTGAGAAGGATTCTCTTACCATTATTGAGATTGCTTTCATTCATGGGTAAAAGTATGCCATGTAAAAAACCAAGTTTCAAAACTCTATTGTAAATATCTACTATCATTGGTGCCATAGCCATTACCTTCTCAATCACAACATTTACAATGAGAATATTCAAAAGTCAAATGCCATCAAATCTAAAGTGGAACTTTAAAATTGTTATTTAAAGTCCTAACTCTTCATCATGGATAGAATAGTTCAACATTTGGCCAGGCATTTAAATGTTTTGAAAATCACACAATTAGTCCTAACTCTTCCCTGCCGTTTTTTTTTTCTGATCAGGACCCTGCCGGTCAATACCTCTAAATATAGCTACTTTAAACATCATTAATATTCACTATACTAAAAATTTTCAGCTTTGTATTATCTAAGCAAGTAGTCAGACAAAGCTTCAGGATTGTGTTTGAGGTGGAATGGGTTAATAGAAAGAGCCGATCGGTATTGTCCCATCGAAACTTGACCTCTGGACATGAGTCAATCACTGTTCATATGCCTTCAAAAATACATAGGCTTTGGCAAGTCCAACCCTTACTCTCCCTATACAGGAATCAAAGAGCTCATCCTTAACTAACACTAGAAAATTACGTTTTAGTATGCCCTCAAATTTGATTTCAATCACCTACATTCTGTAACAAAACAATTCCACATTTACTTGATAGGAATGAACAATGATAGAACAAAGCAATCCAATCGATTGGAGAGGAATCACTACTTATTTCATCCTCTTATTCTGGTTACCATGAGCTCTTCCTTCATCCCATAAAAAACAGACCATCCCGGAACCATGAAATACAAAAATTTAACTTCAAATATAAATTTGAATTGTTGGGTATTCATCAAATAGAAGTAACTGAAGATATGGATGATCAAAGATAGAATAAAACAATCCAATCCTGGGATGTGAAAGAGAGGAACCATTATGTATTTCAACAGTAAAGGTTAGAAACGAAGATATCTTCGGACTATGCTTTACCAAGAACTTTTCTTTCATCGCGATGGGACATTTCTCAAAAAAGATAGATCGACGACACGTGTCATCGGCATCGTTATGTTTCCAGCCAGGAATGACCACGGGTCCTCGGCGACACTCATCCCCATCAGCCAAGGCCATAGTGCTCAGAGCCGAGGGATCCCCCCATTGGAGTGGTCAATACACGTGTCCTCGACTCGGCAAAAATCCTTGACCCCGAGATAGATGAATGTTTCTCGGTGCCGAGGTATTCCTTCTGTAGGCTGAATCCAACCTTCCCTTTGTTTCTACGAAAGATAATGATTGACTGATGGCTAGTCTAGGACAAGCTAGACTAATCATCATGAAGACGCTCTGCTCAAAGGTGTCAGGAGAAGCAGAGATGCAGAACACGCAACCAAGAAGGAGTAGACACGTGGAATTTGATATCAAATCAGTAACAAAAAAATCAGGGTACCTCCGCTGACACATGACTAGAGCAAGTATGCATTTAATGAATCCCCTTCCTAATAGGACAACATTTAAGGCATGGGGACCTAGAAGTGAAAGGCATTAAATGCTCCAATGTCTGGGCATTTAATACTCCCTCGCCGAAGGAAGGGCAATAAATACTCAGCAGACCGAGGGAAAAACATCAATTGCTCGACGTCCCGAGCAGTTAAGACTGAATGCATTCTCCACTAAAGGAAAGGGAGAACACTGCCCCATCTCTAATGATTGCCTACTAGCTAAATTATCAGCAATGATGAGCTTTTGAAGATATAAATAGTTTTCAAAAACATATTGTAAAGGTACGCAAGAACTCCTGAAAAGAACCACAATGTTTTCTTCTTCCCCTCTCTCAAAGAACTGATTTGATCATTGGAGGGGATACGCTAGAGAGCACTCCGGCACCATTCTAACTTGTTTTTCTGTGTCACAGGATCCCCCTACAGTCTTCCAGGACCGGTGAAGCGACCCAACATCAATTCATCACCAGTCCTTAGGGCTCCTTTGTCCCTCTCAACCTATTTCTTGTTGCCAAAACCCACTTTCGGATGGGTCGAAACTCTGTCGGAGGCGACCAGAGATTCTGAAAGCAAGCCTTCCATTCCGCCGGAATTACTGTCTTGTCTAACCACAGTTCATCGTGAGAGAGATCTGTTCCTACTTCTACTGTTGTGCGAAAATCAGCGCGCACACATCGCAAACATTCACAAAACACCCCAAAACCATCATATACAATAATATTACTTCAAGCATAAATTTGAGCTGATGGGTATTCAACTATTTTTTGCCTTGTCAGAGTGTGTCACCATATGGCACAAAAAGATAGAAGGACTCAATTGATGATGAGAGAGTTCAATTGATACCAAAAAAAAATGTAAAGGCTTAATTGACACAAAAATCTTAATTTGAGGGTCATATGTATAATTTATTCTAACACATTTGTAGCACTTCATCGCTTTCCTTTAAAAAATCTAACAAAAACAATCGTTCAATTGATACAATTAGAAAATTTAATTGGCACAAAAAAATATTTAAGAACTTAATTGATACGGATCATAATTTGAGGGTTATATATGCAATTTACTTAAGAAAATAAAATACCTGAACCGATGCCCAGCCCTTCATGATATCAGTATCTTCACTATCAGTTTCTCCAGTCCAACCCCACAAGATCCTCCTCTTCTTATACTGATCATAAAATGTCTTTGATGCATAGTATTTTCCATAATCGACCCGCAACCCGATACCCACGTCCAACTCCGGGTTGTCAGGTGTCCATATGTCCTTTATAGGGTCATAGGTCCCAAGTGCATAATAATCATGCTTATTGTCATCTAAACTTGCTTTGAGCACATGCTTAATACCGGGTCCGTTTGTCGATGTGTCTAACCCGTTTGGCTCCGTAGTTGAAACCGGGTAAAAGTCCACACACTCCCACATACCCGTACCCGGAACTGCGTGCAGAACTCCATCCTCCAGCTCATAGCTTGTGAAGTTTGTTGTTGTGTAAACCAGCGAAATTCCTGTCTTTCCCACTTTTGACCCAATAGAGGTCCGCCATTTACCATCCGGGCCGAGCCATGCGGTGGTCGGGTCCCGAAAGTCGTCAGGAGCTATGCCGGGTGGAGGTAATATAACCGGGTTACCCGGATACTTGACCCAATCAAGGAGAAGAGGATCAGACACGTTGGCGGGGTACGCAAGATTTTGTACCTGCACCTCATCACTGGTGTCCCCAGTGTATAGCATGATGATCTGGCCGTCAGGAAGGATCGTGGCGGACCCAGTCCACACACCATTCAAATCAAACCAGCTATCAGGAACCATAGCGAAGGGAAGGTAGAGCCAGTGAATCAGGTCCCTTGATACAGCATGGGACCACGTGATGTTGCCCCAAACAGCAGAGTCAGGGTTATATTGGTAGAACAGGTGGTACCACCCCATATGAAACAATGGACCTACAATACATGAAAATATTATCCTTAGAATCCAAGTAGATCTCTTGATGGATTGAATTTTAATCATTTCGAATACAGATTTAATTTAAAACTACTATTCAAATTCCATTGGAATATTCAATGAATTTTATTTTTATAATTCATATTTGAATTTATTAAACATTAAAAACAATTTGAATAACTCAATAAACAAAAAATGTGTACATGATTCATATCAAATTAAAATCAGATTAAACATTAATATATTCAAATTTAAACCTGTGGAACAATATATAATAGATTCGAGTTTAGATTATTTGTATACAAATGCCAATGTTTATCAGACCAATCAAAATTGAACTATAGACAGACCTAAATCTAAGTTTTAGACCTAGTAGGAATTCTTGTGACTCTTACAAGACTTGAACTATAGACAGAAATTTAAGAATATCAAAATATGATACGATTTATTAACACAACACGAAATTAGAAAATTTGCGTCTTCTTTAAGTCGTCCGTTTCGTAAACGAGTAAATACGACATGACACGATTAATCAACGAATCAGGTATTAGTGAAATCAATTAAAAGAATACGACTCGTTTATACACGACTCGAACTCCATATAACACAACTCTTTAGACACGAATTGAATATTTTTTAACATAAATCCACCACCACAATTGATAAACATGCATAGATTTCTTTGAAGACATAATGGGTCTCCATTCCGAAGCAGCCCACATCATCTTTTATTTCTTGACATAATAATTGATCATGTGTTTGTATTATTGAGGTCAATTATTGATGACATGCCAATTTGATAACTATCACAAGTTTTGTAAGTGAAGGTTCCTAATGTTTTGTCCCAAGCTGGTTGGCTCTCATGTGCCTAACAGACGGTCAAATTTGAGACACATATTAATCGTGCACGTTAGTTAAATAAAATAGAACAAGTCTTCTTAACCCCAGATGATATTTTCTCATATGAAGTTACGTATTTAAATAACATTTGATATGTTGCTTCGGAAAAGTAGTATTTTCTTACATACATAATTATCTCAAACAAGGTTGGATTGAACCTTCCTATCAAGTTGACTTTCAATTTTAAACTAAAAAATAATAATATAATATACCATAAATAAGACTATAATTAAATGCTAAAAATAACCTCCACCTAGGCTTTGCCAACTTTGTTCATGGATGTTCATTAACTTGAGTCATTCTAAAATTAATTAATCTTGTGACAATTTAGACACTTATATTACGATAATATTTTTTTGGTACGGAACAAATGTTAATGCTTTTTGGTTAAAATAAATTGCCAAAAACATACTCACAAAAATATTATTAAACACTGAATTTATCACTAAAAACAAAAGAGCTTCTTAATTTACAAACTGCCAGGAGGCCGGACACGTGAGTATGTGGGACCTACCTACCGTCCAAAGAATTAAAATGCTATTGGTCCACATCTCCAAAAAAGAAGCAAACTTGTAATCAGTTGATTACGTTATTATTGATTACTATTTATGATTTCCAGGTCGGAGATGTTGCTGTACCAAGGTCTCCTCACCTTCGCCACACATTTCCTTGGCTAGCTGGCGCCGAGGTACGGTCACATTCATGTCAATTTTACCTAATATTAAATTTTTTATTTTATATTCTCAAAAATTATATTTTTTATATTATATATCTTCAATATATTAAAAATATTACAATATCACATTTATTAACTTTTAAAATAAAAAAAATAAGAAAAACTAATAAAATATTGCAACAGAATAATGCTTCTAACAATAATAATGCCTTAAATAGTAAACTTTATTCTTAAATAAAGTCTAAATAGCATTCAGTTTAGTCGGCTAAATTAAGTAATTAAAATGGGATGCTGCGACGTTTAAGAAACATTTGAAAAACTTTTTTAACAATTTTTTGATTCGCAATTCACTTATTAAAGAACATGATGAAAAGGGGTTTATGCAAAAACATACCGTTAGGATCTGAAGAAGGAGCCACCAAAATTCCACCAAAGCAGCCGTGAGAATCAACAAAAAGTTCAGATCAGTGTGTGTGACTGTGTGTTTATATGTATGTATGTGAGTGTGTGTGTGTATATATTTATATTACTAATAAAAAATGGGGTTGAAAAATGAAAGAGCTAATCTTTACCCATTACCTACCATTCATCCAATTCTTCTCAGGTTGAAAATGGTAAGACGTTCTTTGCCAAGACAGCATAGCATTGGTCCAAGGGTAGACAGGTTCACCAGATACCTCCCGGAAAGTCTTCTCCGATACGCCCTGTGACACCCCTCTTGACGGTGGTTTCAATGTTACCGGTGAAACCGGCGTAGAAGGCAAAGGCTTTTGTTGATGGACATTGACTTCTTCTTGAGGTTCTGGTCTTTGGTTGACTATCAGAACTATCAAAGAGAAGAGAAAGAGTACGGAGAGGAAGATACCGACGATACCCTTACATGGCCGCCGTTTATCGGCAGGAGAACCGGTGGATTCAGTTTGTTCTGGTAGGGGGATGTAAGAAGCTGCACGTTCAAGATCATTTGGGTGTGCGTAGATTGGGTAGGTGTACATTGTGGCCGGTGGGTGAATTTACTGGTGAGAGACTAGGTGGTGAGAAATGCCAGGGTATGGTATATAACAGGATGTGTGGTATTTTTTTTTTTTTTTTTT